CATCGCTTGCGTCACCGCATAAGCTCCGCCTCCTGAAGATCCGCAGCGGCATTAGATTCTCATAGGACCAGGAGCCCTATTGTAAACTGCGCATGCGCATGCGCATGCGCATGCGAGGCCTCTAGGTGGCGCGCTCCTTGTGGGAATCTAATGCCTGAGGATCTGAGGTGGAGCTGAGGTGGTGACCACGCACTGGGTAGCGGCTGCAAGTGTATTAAAGATTATCATCAGCAGAGGGGTTTGACTACACGGTAAATATAATGTGCTTGAATCATCCCGAAACAACTCCGCCTCTGGCCAGTCCGTGGAAAAATTGTCTTCCATGAAACGGTCCCCGGTATGCATCCCAACCCTTCTGTTTCTAGACCATGTCCTCAAAACGGGGGATCCAGCCTGCTCCTGTTGTATCATTCTTTTCTCGTACTTTCAGCCAGTTATCTCAGGCCTCATTTTATGTAATAGCTTCGGTAGGATTGTGCGAGGTCACGATTTTGACCTTTCTTGATGACAGTTTTTCCACCGTATTCTGACAATACAACCATGGCCCGAAGGAATAATATTACTCCTTCCTAGTAAATTCAGTTTTTTGGCACGCCTCCACAGAATACTGACCTTAGATCCCGTTTTTATTACCTGATTAGCTTTTCCCAGGTTTCTCCTGAGGCGGTGATCCCAGCCAAGTCCCTGATAGACGGCAGAGTCTGTCTTAAAGAGTGAAAAGTGCGCATTCTGAGCTGGATGCCTTTGAATCCTGGCTCTGCCTGACCTTGGGCAAGTCGCTTCAACCTCTGTGCCTCAGTTTCCTCATTTGTGAAATGAACATAATTAACAGTACCTACTCATAGGGCTGTTGTAGCTGAATGAGCTAATATAATTACCGTGTCTAGCACTAATAAGTAGGCCCCATGTGTTAGCGACTGTCATTATTATTGTCCCTTCTCTGGGGAGGTGAACACAGGGCTTATTACTTGCTTGAATGGGTAGAAAGCAAAAGGGATACACGGAGGAAAAATAGATTTGTATTTCAAAATATCTCATTTTGCCACAGAGGTAATCATAAAATTAGCCAAATAATATCCTATTTTTGCTTTTGAAATTTAATGTTAGCAGCTTGAATTCTCTACAGTCACGAGTGTGTAATTTCCACTTCTGTGTGTGTAAAGCACTTCAGCCGAGCTGGCCTTTTTTTTTTTCCCCCATCAGTCATCAGGATTACCTTTTCTTTAATAAGCGTCAAAATTTCTGAGTGAATGACAGGAAAATGCGTTCAAGACCAAACGCCAGCAATGTTTGAGTCCAGTAAACGACGAGGAATAGAAAGAAAAGACAACTTTGACATTTTACTGGAATCTGAGTTAATAAATGGGACCACAGAACAAATAGCAAACAACTGCTTGAGTTACATCACCAAGAAAAAAGAGATAATGAACCCCATTTCCAGTCTGAAACCATTACACAATATGATTAATGGAGCTAACAAGTTGCCGATTACACGTTAGAAAATCTTCTAGAGGATTTTATAACAAAAGGAACAACTTGTTCAGAGTATAATCAATGCTTACGGATAAATTTCACAACCTTGCACCTCAAGGGAATACGTTTGCTTTTCTCAAAGATCAAGTAAACCAACCATTTCATCTTGGCAATTATTAGCCTGCCTCATGTTTTATAACTAAGAAAAATTTGGCTTCTCTCCATATTTTAGTTGAAATGATTTTCTGGGGGTGGGTGGAGAGACAAGAGTCTCACTCTGTTGCCCAGGCTGGAGTGCAGTGGCATCATCATAGCTCACTGTAACCTCAAACTCCTGGGCTCAAGAAATCCTCCTGCCTCAGCCTCCTGAGTAGCCGGGACTACAGGCATGTGCCACCACGCCGGGCTAATTTTTTAATTTTTTTGTAGAGGTAGAGTCTCACTGTGTTGCCCAGGCTGGTCTCAAACTCCTAGCCTCAAGTGATCCTCCCTCCTCAGCCTCCCAAAGTGCTGGGATTACAAGCGTGAACCACGTTGCCCGGCCTGAAATGACATTTTAATTCATATCATCATAGGTAAAATTTTATTACCCTTAGTACCTCCAAAGCGAAGTTTAGTTTTACTTATTCTTCAGTTGAGCATTTCTGAAGTTAAAGTACAAAAATTCTCTGGATGAAAGCAATAATAAGAGGTTAAAAATATATATCTTTATGGAGATATATTATTGAATCTTTCATAAAAAGTCGTACAAATGGAGGAGGGAAAAGAAAATATCAGAGTAATGGGATTTGTCCTTGAATCTCCTTTTTTTTTTTTTTTTTCCTTCCAGTTAAACCAATTTCCTCATGTTTGTTGTTTCTGGATTAAAGCCAGAGTCAACATTGTCTCTATTTCTAATCAAATAATGGAGAAACAGTTACGAATTCTGAATGCAGTTAGAGGATCCTGGGAAGCCGAGTGCCTGGATGGAGCCTGAGCTGGGTCTCTGACTCATTTCTGACTTTAGGCAAGTTATTTAATGTCTCTGCACTTTTGACATGATCATAATAATGTTAATTTATTTCATAGGTATGATAGTAACCATAAAACTCAGGAAACAACTGTGAGCTTTTGGGAGAGGTCAGGTTGATCGGTGAGAAGGCTGCTTCTGCAACTTGGAAAAGATATTTAAAATTATCTCTTTTCCATTTCCTTTATATTTTGAATGAATTGGATGGGAGTTTGATGTAAATGATAGGATTTGCAGTTTTGGTATACAAAATGGAAAATAAAATGGATGGACCATATTATAATTTTTGATTCAGAAGTAAAAATTTCAGAAATATTTTTCTTCATTTCATTTATTTGGGAATCAAGCATATTTAGCTTTTTAAGGCTTTCATTGAGTATGAATTCTTGAGGAAAAATACAAAGACATGGTTATATTCCATTTTCAGGAAAAGGAAAAACAATAAAAGAAAATAGCTTAAAAGGAGTCTCTAAGCCTGTGTTTACGGGTAAATTTTTAACTAACTGTCTTACATTAAGGTTATAGTCCATTTGTGAATGCTAACTTATTAAACATGCTTCCTTCAAAACTTTTTCCTTCTTTTTTATTTCTTTTATCTCGTATCCTTTCATCATGGCTTGCTTAAACCATACCATTTTTGAAATTTTTACATGCTACTAATGTACCTTTGTTTTGTAATTGTTTTTAAAAGCAATATATCACATGTAGAAATTTTTGTTT